AATGTTTGGTGCGGTTTCTACCCCACGACATCGTTCATGGACATACTTGGCCGGACAAGGGAAATTAAAGGTTGAGATATCGAGGTATCCCTTATGTACCAACGGGTCGTATGAGTGATATCCCTTGTCTTTGGTGGGGTTAATGTGTACCCCTAGTGCCTTTGTAATCACTGACGGACACTCCGTGATTCTCTATGGATACTCTATGAATTTATTTATAGTGAAGGTATAGGTCGTAGTTATGAGTTTTGGTTAAGTGCAGGGTTGACGGACATTCTGTCCAAGACAACAGACACTCCATCCCTATCGATAGAACCCATGTTCATAGTGTTGAGTTTGATTCAAACCTAGTTTGAGGGTTGGGCTCACTATGCATGTGTGAGATGTGTCCATGTTTCTTTTGGTGACATGATAGGCTAATGATAGCTAGGTTTTAGGCCTTAGTTATCAAGTGCAACTAATGATTTATGAATTTGTTTTATGCATGAGAAAAGAGAGATAAAGCTTGAGATTGGGCAATGACAACTTAGCTCTGAAATGGCTTCCCAAACCACGAAGATTGAAGCTAGGGCCTTGAGCAACCTTGATCCAAAGCTTAAAGAGGTGGATTTGGGCATTCATGATTTTCCTTGCAAAAATTTATGAAAATTGATGAGCGAGAGATTGGAGAAGCTCATGAAGAGATTGAGCTAAGGTTGGCCTTGATCTCACCCTTGAGATGGTGGAGAGATCACCAAGCTTCATGCTTCATCCATGCATGGAGTGATTGGGGGGTTAGGGGGTTTGGAGATGATTTCAAGAAAATGGAATCAGAGCTCTTGAGCTAACCATGACTAGAGGTTGAAATGGAGATGCTCTTGAGGTTGATGAGGTGTTGATCTTGTTGCCCTTTGCCTTCTCCCTTTCCCTTTCCTCCTCCATCCTTGTTCCTTTCTCTCTCTAGTTCTTACTTTATTCATCTTTCTTGAGACAGAGAGAGTGAGGGAGTGGAGAATGAGAGAGTGGGTGAGAGACGAAGCTGTCTCTGTTGAAGGGATGTCCAAATTCATGCTAGCAAGTGGGTCCACTAGGACAGAATGGGGGATAGCTCACTTCCCACTCAATTCTGCTAGTTCAGTGAAGTGATGGGCAGTCCGTCAGATGCACCTGGATGTTCCATCAATTCCCTGATTTGAAGAAATTGATCCAGAGAAAGGGACCTTTGGCATTGGTGCCATTCTTTGGTGTCCTTGATATAGTTGTTGAACACAGTCGGAGAGGTCAAGGAGGTTGATTTGCATCTTCTGGAGAATATTTCTTGCGAGGTTAACTTCAAGTTGACCATGGTTGGCTTGAGTTGACTCAGGAGAGTCGATGAAGTTGATCTGCGAGCATCAGGGATCTCCCTAAAAGGATGATAATGTGATCCTTGGGTACGGTGTTCAAAGATCTCTTAAAGGTCTTCAAGGAGGTTTTATTTGAAAGATTTAGTTGGAACGACTTTGGGTCATGATAGTATGGACCTGCAGTACACCACTTAACAAGTTTAGTGACCTAAAAATGTATTTTTAAAGTTCATAGACCTAAGTGACATACCTTGATAAGTTCAAGAGCCTTTCCTGCATTTAACTAAAAAATATAAAATACGCAAGTCCAAAGTTGATGTTTGTTGGTGTTTCGAGTAAACACCAATGAATAAATTTGTATTAATACGCATTAGGCCCGGATGGTGTGCTAAAAATGACACAAGGATTATACTGGTTTGGGCAGAATGTCCCTACGTTCAGTTCGTGGCTGCTTCATTACTGAAAAGTTCGTAGTAGGGGTTACAAACGGATGAGAGAGGGACATGTCCTAAGTCTTAGATGGAAAGGTCGTACGAGTGCTGAGAGTTTCGGTGCCACTCAGCTATGTGGTGTGATGTGTGTGTAATTGATCCTCCTTCTCGTGGGATGCCCTACCTTCCCTTTTATAGACCAAGGGGCAGCAGGGATTACAGATGGAAGAAGGAAGAAAAACCAGAAGCCAAGGAGGTCCTTCAACGATGTCGGGTCCTCCTTTTTCTCTGAGCGAGTCCCGCTGACACGTCAGATGATGCCATGTTCTGACCCTGTCAGCAAGTGGTCACGTTCCGTCCCGCCCCGGCGGGCGGCGCGATGGATCAGGGTGCTGATCCTCGACCTTACGGGAACAGACGACACTGTGACCGCGCGTTCATACTATAGACGATGTGATTTTCCTGGACTGTAGTGGTTATCGTATGCTTCCATCAGGATCCACGCCCGAGGGCGAACGGCGGCGCCCACAACACTGTAAGACAAATGTCGGCGCCTACAACACTGTTCGGGCTCTGACATGCCTGGAGGGGCTTAAAGCGCCCGTCTTGTCATATCCTGAGGATACTTTCCTGCAGACGTGCAGGGTATGGTCCTCGGTATTGCGGTTGACTTGAGTGTCCCGCCTTACCTGCGTGCATAGTCATGAAGGAACAACGCGCAGACGAGTCAGCCCTCAGACGTCGGGCTAGGCGGAGCCAACCCTCAGACCTCGGGCGAGGCGGAGCTAGCCCCCAGACGTTGGGCGAGGCGGAGCCTACCGTCGGACATCGAGTGGGGCGGAGTCTGCCCTCAGACGTCGGGCGAGGCGGAGCCATCCCTTAGACGTCGGGCGAGGCGGAGCCATCCCTCAAATGTCGGGCAAGTCGGAGTCTGCCCTCGGGGGTCGGACGAGGCGGAGCCAACCCTCAAGGGTCAGACGAGGCAGGGCCCACGGTCTTGGTGACCGGGCAAGAAGTGACCCGGCAAGTGGTGTAATCGCGCTCTTGACCGCGCGGGGGAACCTAAGGTGTCGGTCATTAGCTCCTCCTCTTAGGGTACCCTAATATTGGTCCCCGACAATGTTAGAAACAAATCAATAAATATCTAAATTAGAATACAATAATAGAATATAGTAATTTGGATTAGAAAAGCAAAGTATGTATATAATAAGTAACTCATGTAAATAATTTAATTAGTAAATATAGAATAAATAAGTAAACCTTATTTCAATTATCATATGGATCAAGAGGCAAAATACATGAACAAAAGAGATTGTATCAACTATAATTAATAAATAGTTAAATGGGGAACAAAAATATAATGACGAAACAATATTTTGATTTCCACTTGGGTTGGAAACCAAATGAAACATAAATAAATAAATAAAACAATTGTTTATGTGGAATTGTTAAATGCTTGCTCTATTATAGGAAGCATTTTCAAAGACATGTGTTTTCTATTAACAGAGGCATACCATGTCCACCTTTGGCAAATGATCACTGTTAATTGGCTATTTCCAAAGGCGATTGCGCGACCATTAAATGCTCACCTCTATAAATGTTTTTTTCAAAAAAAAACTGAAAAAACAAAAAATTAGTATCTTTGAGGAATTAACCCCCAACCTCCTACATAATCATTAACCCCCAACCTACTACATAATCATAACACCTATTTACCGCTACACCACACACTCATTTGTAATTATATATGAGACGCTATCTTTTTATATCAACATTTGTAATCTTATATTAGAATGAACTCAAACAACTACAAAGTTCCATGTTTAATAAAAGCCCCTTTGGAGTCTAGGAACTCTAAAAAAATTATAGAAGTCAACTTATTTTCATAGAAAAAGTATCGAAAACAGAAAAAAAAATCCCCATCCAGCTATAACCTGGAAAGTAAATCTCATGATGATTGTATATAAAATTAAATAATTCTAGGTCTGATTAAATATAAAATACTAATATTTATGATGCATAATAAATATCGCTAGATTAGTAATGAAATATATATTTAAAATAAGCTTATTTACAAATATAAATATTTTTATAAATTTATTAATCAAACTTAAGATTATTTGCCTTAGTAGAAAGCAAAATTTACATTCTAGCAAGCACTGGGAGAGGACAGCAAGGCTGGAAGATGAGTAGGGCCTCGTTTGGTACCGCTCCACCGACAGCTCCTAGATTTGTCTGAGGCTGTTTTTTTTGCCAAACGGGTAAACCGAAACAGTTCCATCCAGGGAACCCCTTAAGGGCCTATTTGGTTTCATGTGACTAAACTTTAGTCCCCCATTTTAGTTTATTTTAGTCCCTAAAATTACCAAACATGGTGACTAAACACAGGGACTAAATGGTTTAGTCCATTAGTCCTTTAGGGTGGCTAAAGAGGACTAAAGTGCACAATGGACAGGAGTTGCCCCTCAATTATTGCCTGCCCCCACCCCTCCTGCTCCCCCCATGCCGCCGTAGCCAGTTCGTGACACCGCGCCGCCAATGAGGGGCGCCGCGACGCAGTGCCACTGAGGAACCACCGTGGATCCGGCCATGGTGGACAGGGCACGGGGCGGATCCAGCCAGGGCGTCGTGTTGGGGTGGGGCCAGCCAGGGGCGCGACGCGCGTCGGGCGATGGAGCCGGCGGGGAGTAGCGCGAGGCAGGGGCAGCGAGCGTGACCTGGCATGGCACGGATGTAGCGGCCAGCATGGAGCTCGCAGCTGGGACGGACAGGGCGCGACGCGGATCCGGCCATGGTGAACACCGGATTTGCCCCAAGCAAAGGAGGGGGCGCGCCCGTTGGGGCTCGAGGCCACCTGGGCGCGATCGTCGAGGGTGGGGCATCACTGGCGGCTGGCGCGGAGAGCTTGGCAGCAGCCAGCGCCTATCTTGAGAGAAGAAGGCAGCCCGCAAAGAAGCTTGCGAGAGAGAGGAGCAAAATAAGACAAAAAAATAAAGAGAGATAATATAGTAATTTCATTTTAGCTTATCATAAAGAGCTGTTTTGTCAAACGGTAGCACTCACTTCTCCCAGTTTATCGCAGTAATTTACCTCGTAAACCGTGCGTACAAGAGAGACGACCAGTCAACCACGAGTGCACTACCGGTACCGGAGTACTCCTAGCAAATATCACAAATGTTACTAGTATAATAGCAAGGTAGTAGCCGACTCTTCGCCTTCCTCCCGGGTCTTGGTAGGCCCGGCCATGGGGGTTCGAGCTGGCCTTCGCGTTCGCGACTCCTGTGCCCTTCCGCCACGTGGCGCGACTCTCCGCCTTCTTCCTGCGCGAGTGGCGACTCCCGTCGCGAGGCTGCGAGCAGCGGCGATCCTGTCGCGTCTTGGTGATCTTCGCGAATCGCGACTCCCGTGCGAGTGCGAGCGGCCAGCGGCCGGCGGCATCCACTTCCGTCTGTTCCTGGCTTCCTGCTCCTGGTCTTCGTATACGGAGGTAAGAATGAAGAGACTGGCTCTAAACGGCTTAGCCCCCTAATCAATATTTGCTCTTGTCCTCAATCTTTATTTTTACTTCTTTATTTGGACTGTCTTGGTGCTGGATAGCATCGCCACCTCGTTGGCTCCTCCCAGTCCCAGCTCCCAGCAACCTCCGATCCGATCGAGAACGCATGGCCTTCTGGGGTAAGGACTCCAATCACCAGCTAACTTTCCATCGCCGATCAATTTTTTTTAGTCCACCGCGAGTCTATCCATAGCCTGATCCATCTTTTTTCTTCTTCTGAATCTTTCTCATGCTTTGCAGCTGTGGAGGTGAAGCCTGGCGAGCCGTACGTCCATGAGTCCTCCCGCCGAGGCCGCCTCCGCATCACCCAGGTGATGAACGAAACCCCCGCCCCCCCTCTTCTCTCTCTCATACACAGATGACCAAGAAACGTATCTTTGTTTCACTGGTCACAGTGCGAATGTGCGATAGGTACACGATTAATTCAGTCGAACTAGCCCGTGTAGTTCTTATCCCTGCGAGTATGATTTCCCTTTAACTACTCTCAACTCAAGGTTCCGGCCTTCCGGGTCTTTGTTTAATTGTTGTGATTGTGGTTGTGCTTCTAGTGAATAATTTATTTGACTAGGTTGTTTCAAAGTATTTAACCATTGGTGAAAGAGTTTGGATTTTATACCCACAGCATTTAACTATTAGACATGGTTCCACTTTATGTTTAGAAATGCAGTGATAAGGGCATAGGGCTGGGGTACCATTCAATAAACTACACGAAAGTTAAGAGGTTCTGTCGCTACTAATTTCAGTACTATGCTTTTGCTGATATCAAGATTCCTGGTCTTTGTTTAACAATTGGGTTCATAAAGTTGCATCTTTTCTTGTTCTGGTTCCCAGGTGTACCAGGTTCCTAGTCACTGCCTCCAAGGATTAGTTTACATTAGTAGGCTACCTCAAAGTATTTTACTGCGATTGATGCTATTTGATAGTGAAGAGGACATAGCCAATCTTTGCGCACAGTTGTGATCGTTGCCTAAAAATAGTTTGCCTTGGACACTGTAAAGTATTGAGTGCATCACTACAGTGAAACTGCGCCCTTACTTCCTGCTACATACATTCTGATGTCCTCTGTTTTCAAGGCACTGATTGCCCCACTTTAGTACAACCAGTGCACCATAGAACACTCTGCATAGAAATAGGAAATATGATTGTAAGTAGTTTCAGGTTTCACTTTCAGCATAATGTTCCAGAATCCAAAACAATGATGTCTATTTGGGAAAGAAACTAAGAGGAGAGTTGAGACTAAAGTATACTAATATAAACTTCATTGTTTGAAGGCACCAAACTCCCGAATAAAATTTGGAATTTGTGATATCAAACTCTGCAAATAAACTGAAAATTTGTCAATAGGAAGTGGTCATCACCCTTTTGTCTTGGCAACTGCTATTTGTACCATGCTTTTTTCTGCCCATCTTAAATCTGTTACCCTTCCAGTTTGCACTTGCTCTGAAATATTTTTTATATGCTGAAAGATGCATTTTACATTTGTGTCAAATTACCCCTCCAATTCCAAAAGAACGCTGTTCAGGCTGCATCCTGTCTGACTTGTAAACTCCGGGAGCTAATATATGTTTTATCACCACTAGTGAAACCACATGTTGCCAAAATGACACTAGTCTATGTCAATGACAAATGAGGTTGGGTCTTACATGTCATTCACAGGCACAATGATACAATTTTTCGAGTCATATAATGGGCTCAACACATGAAAGATATTCGTAGATTTTGTAAACAAATGGTTTGAAATCTATTGAAAGTTTGAAATAGAATAACTGGTCGGTTAGTGTCAATGTCTAAAGCAGCATTCTTCTACTGGATGGATTCCCACCTATTGCATTTCATGCTTGCTGCAGTGTGCTTGCCAAATAAAATGTGTGATTTCTAGATTTACTTGCTTCTTTGTGTGTTCCTAACCTCAGATATGATAGGAGTTGTCCCTAAATATTCTTCTCAAGTCTTATGTAGTTTTAGTTACTGCTTAAATATCAATTTTATATGAGCTGGATAAAATCTTCGGCACTGACCTGTCAGATGAACCGATCTTTCACAACCATGTTAGTCATGCCTTTCAGATAATATATATTTAATTTAATGCGACTTGTTTGTATTAGAATGGTTTAGAGTTAGTTGGACTAGTATACACATGAGTGAAAGGATGTGGATGCTTGTGATAACGATTGCGACTTGTTTCTATTAAAATGGTTTACACTTAATCGGATTGGTATATATATGACAGTGACAGGATGTAAGATGCTTGTGATAAGAAATGGAGCCTGTGTCTATGAAGTAATAAGATTACTGTCCCCTTGTAATCAACAGATGAATATTGTATATATTCATTTAGTTCAGTGCATTCTTTGATTGATTTCCGTCCTCTGCCAGTGCTTGTGTTCTTATCTGTTCTTTTGCTGCATTTGGATGACGTTCTTTCAAGAACCTTGTTTTAGGACATGTTTTATTCATTATTGATCGTTTTGTTTAATTGATGTAGCTGGTCAATCTGGTGTTGCTAATAACAAAATGTTTTTAGCATATCTAGTTATATTCTACATATGCAGTAGAGAAAGGTTGCACCATGGAGGGCATGTGTTCTATTACTTGTCTCTTTTGTATCCAAAGCTTTATTTGTTCATTCAGTGGCTTAATAGATGATGTATGCTCTTAATCTGCAACTACAGGAAACCCCAGATAGCTTAGTCTTGTGGTACAATGCAAACAGATTAAAAAAATGTGGATTTACCAGTAACATTACATGGAACATTTTCTATATTTATGCCAATTCAAAACAATTTTAAAAACTTGGAAGCTATGCATGACAATTCATCAAAACACCTGCTATAGAAAATATTTTCTGCATTGTTTGCTATACAGAACATGTGCAATGTTTAAGAAACTCTTGATTACTAAAGCATGTTTCTTTTTTTGTGTATTTTTCAGGCTACACTAGGTAATCTTGAGAGTGTTGGTTTAGCACCATAGAATGCAGTGTTGGTAGTATGATGCCTGTGAGGCTCTGCGCATTGAAGTCTACATCGGGCATGTACAGGTTAGACCTGGAATATGACGAGGAGCAAAATGTTGTTTTCTCTGTGATTGGGGATAGTTCAGTTCACCTTGCAGGATACTACAAGTAAGTGTATATATTATTCTTGGTATTGTTTTACATTGTTCTGGTATAAACATCAAATCACTAGAGTTTTACATTGTTCAGTATTCTTGGTAGAGCAACATTTTCCATTGCACAAATCCAAAAGTACATTTCAAGCGTAGTTCGCAAGGGGTGGGGGTGGCGCACTGTGCTTTAAGCTAAGGTACTGTTTTATTAATTTGGTCAGGTAATAGTTTGGCACTATTAAATTAGTACATTTTCAAGGTATTGAGTCTAACTGAATAGTAATTGAGTACTATTGATAAGACGGTAGGTCAGTTAAAGTTGTCGGTTTGCTTGTTTGTTGTCTTTACTTTTTCCTTTTTGCCACAACATGAAGGAAAAAAGAACTTCAACATATATGATGCTATAGTTGGTAAATCTAGATGGACAAGCACCAGTTCAATTTAATTATGTACTTATTTTATACATTAATGTACTAATATAGTATTTTTGTAGTTATTATCATACAGATCACATAAACTACACAATGAGCCTTAGTTTTTGTTTGGGTGTAGCATATATATCGTTCAACACAGAAGACTTGTGTTAGCAATGGCCCAAAATGGTTGCGTATGCCTTTCCTAGTTCAAGATTGTTGCTTACCTGATATCTTTTAGAGCCTATGTACATGAAATTAATCAGATATAATTAGATTTACATTTGCGTGTAGCATATTATATCAGCACACAAGACTTGTGTTATGGTCGGTAAGACCTATCATCGTAGGCAGCAGCGTGGCTAACCTAGCACGCGGTCAGGTCTGTGTCTACAGAGTCGGTTTGGAGGAAGAGTTAGAGTCTAAGTTAAGTTAGATGGATTGGTTAAGAGTTGTTTTAGGAGTCCAGGAGTTGTGGAGTCGGTTAGCTATGTTTGTGGCAGATCTTGTAACACCTATAAAGGCTAACCATATGGAATAATAGATTTCAACACAGGATTGAGACTTACCGTCTCCCTTGGGTGCCCACCACATTATCACATTCATCGTCTCCTCTTGCCACAGCCACCACGGCTCCTGCCCGCCAAGCCCTAGCTTCGCTCTCGCGTTCCTCGATCTCCTCCATACTTCCTTGAAGCAAAGCCCGCCCTGTAACAACACCTTGGTATCGAGAGATCATGTCGACGTCTGGGGGGCCGTTCACCGCCAATTCCACCCACCTCGAGCCCCCCCCCCCACGTCCTGGGTTTCCAACCACATCAGGTGCCCTTGTCCTGCTACATCGGGGCCCCGATTTTCCCCACCTCGCAGCCTTCACCGCCGCCAGATGTATCGCGATCCTGCGGCATCTCGGCGACGAATTCACCAATGCCATCCAAGGAATTCGAACCGGATGGCCTGCTAAACTTTCGGATGACCAACATGGCACGGCGCTACCGACGGCCATTGATGGGCGGGACACACCTTGCGCGGGGCACCTACCACGATTATCGCGCCCGGCTTGCTGCTGCTGCCGGCCTCATTCTGGCCGTCCTTCCGGATGCAACCTCTGCGTACCGCAGCGGCATATCTCTCACGCTCCAATGGCCACCACCACGCACCAAGGGCTCCACCGACGTTGGCGGCTAGTTCGGCGTGCCGATCACGCAGATTTGCTTCCCTCCGTCACCCTCGCCGCTCCCTCCTTTGAGTCCGTCATGGGGGCATGCCAATATGCGTCGGCTCGGCGCGGTGTCGACACTGCGGCGGATGTACATTCTCTCTGCCGATGGAAGGGGCACGGGAGGTCACGTGGTTCCCAAGTACCACAAGCTCGTGTTCCCGACACATCGACGGCAAAGAGGATCCGCTCATTGGGGTGAACAAATGCGGCGATTCTTCAATGGCCATCAGACACGCCATCAAGATCGGGTTTGGCTCGCGTCGTACCACCTCACCGGCGTCGCCCAGCAATGGTACACAGTGCTCGAGTCCGATCTTTGGGCGCCTAATCTGGATGACTTCGCGACACTCATCAACAATGGTTCGGTCCGCCCCTCGGCACAATCATCTCTCCGACCACAGCGCCTTCCCTTCACCTCCACAGTTGATGCGTATATGGAGGCGTTCGAGCCGCAAGGCTGCGCATGCAGGCGGTATCCACCGGGCCAAAGGCCAAACCGTTCACCGAGG